GTTTGCCATTAACCTGAGCCTGCAGCATGGCTCGTGGGTGCCCTCTAGTGGGAGCTGATGGCCATGCAGCCATCTCTCTGGCCACCCATGACTGGGCATTCGGTGGGATGAAAATGATGACCCGGAACACGGTTTGTGATGGGGATCCCAAACAGCAGGCAGGACACCAGTGCCATGGTGGCCCAGGTGGGTCCCAGTCCACACTGGGCTTCTGTCCAGTTCTATAACGTCCCTACCTGGAACCTTGGCTAAACTGAACCCATGTCACTGCTGTGTCCTCCATCGAGGCTCCTGGGGAGCAGGGCCAGCACGCACTTTGCTGCAGCAGTGCTGTGTGTTTGTGCTCCACCTGCAGAGTGCTGCTTTGTTTCCCCTGTGCCCTCGCTCACAGACTCCTCACCCCAGCTACCATGGTGGCAAGGCAGATGTGGGGGACAGCCCCCATGTTAGCCACGACCAGCTATCTGGCAGCTGGGGGGGGGGTCACAGAGACACAAGTGTGATTCCTGAACTGGCCCCCCGTCTGCCCTAAGTCCCAAGTCCTGGGGCAGCTCTGAGTGCCCAGGCTCAGCAGCCCCAGTCATGGGGCTCCCTGAAGTGACAATGGTAGAGACTCAGCCACTGGGGGATACTTCTACAGTCACCAGGAGGGGTAGGGTCCTGGGCTTGGCCGTGTGTGTGTGTGTGTGTGTGTGTGTGTGTGTGTGTGTGTGTGTGTGGCAGGGGTGGAGGCAGGTACAAATCTTGGTCAGGTACCAGGATGGCATGTGAGCAACAGGTGAGACATAGCGTATCCTGTCAACTGAGGATCTGAAGAAGAGCAAAGGAGATGGGGTATGGATCTCCATGCTGTGGGGTACGGAGCTGGGGAAACAGCTGGTGGACCTCTATCGGTTCTCTTCTCCTGGGAGACCCGGGGACAGCTGGGCCATGAGTCAGGCCAAGCCCTCCACGGCATGGATGTCTTTCTACTCCTCCCTCAAAATCACCTGCTGCGGATGCGTGGCATGGCATCAGGCTGCTGCTTAAGCTGCCTGCCTGTGCATCTTGGAGGGCCTGGGTTCAAACCCTGGCTCTGTCCCCAGTGTTAGCTTCCAGGTAGTGCAGGGTCCAAGAGCAGCAGCTGCTGGACTCATGCGGTTGGATGAGACCTGGATTAAGTTCCCTGGCTGTTGTGGGCATTTGGGAGTGAAGCAGTAGGTACGTGTGTGTGTGTGTGTGTGTATACCTTTCAAGCAAATCCTGACCTCATTTGAAGGGGTTCCCGTGACTCTCAATGTGGGCTCACCAGTAGTGAGTACCCAGGGGTTGAGTATTTCCAGGCACCCTGTACCATGTCAGTTCCATGAAGTGAGATGTATTCCAGCACATGTGAACAGGGGGCGCTGCTGAGCTTGAGAACTGGAGGAGTGACAGCTGAGGTCACCAGTCGTGGGTGGTACTCTCCATTATGCCTGTCACACTCCTCATTAGGCTTGCAAAAGACCTCAGCTCCCCCACTGTGTCCCTGGTTCTAGGACCGCGACGGCCCTCACGTGCAGTGTAGATACCCAAGATGGGTAAGCTGTGAGCTTGAACTGATGCCTTTAATTGGTGCTGCTAATCGACTTCCCGTGATGCTCGCAAACAACACGATGCTTGGGTACAACCTGCAGAGCCTCCAGCAGGGCCCCTGGTGGCCCTGGCCGCCTGACCATCACCCCCTTCCTTCCCAGCATTCAGGGCAGCTGGCTGAGTGCGCCAGTGCCCCTCTCACCTGCAAGACAGCTTCCAGTGGAGCCCTGGGCATGAGTTGGCCCTGTGCCCTTGACAGGAAGCCATGGTAGTAGGGACGGAAGGAAAAGCCCAGGATCTGCAAACTGTGTCTTCCAAGGTGCAGGGGGTGTGGAATGGGGGCTCCCAGTGCATGTTATAGCGCCCTTCAGGCCCACGCAGGTGCTCTGCGGGCTCTGTGAGCTGGGATCCTGAGAAAGGCTCTATTTGGGGAAATGGTTCCACCAGCCGTGTATTCTGGAAGCTGTCAGATGCAGGTGTCCTGCAGCCCATCTTCCAGGGATCGCGTGTGCCTCCGGGGCCACTGAGCATGGCCCTTGGGCTCCCCGGGGCCCTGGCAGCGGAGGCCTTCGGCCTGCCTCCACCTTCAGTCCACATGCGGGGCTTCAAGAGTCACCTGCACGTGTAATGTGCTTGCACACACACACAGACACCATATACATCATGTATGTACACACCTCACACATCCCATAACACACCCCACAACTATGTGTGTGCATGTATATACAAAGCACACTACACACACACACATCACACGGGTATCATTCCAGTATGCACACCCAGACATCACCCAGTGTGTACAGATGCCACACGCAGTGTACTGCAGCCTTCACAGCTACACATGCCACACGGCACACCCCACAACCATGTGTGAGCATGCATACACACAACACTCTACACAACAGACATCACACACCACACAACTATCATTCATGTATACACATACCGCACACATGTTACATAGCACAGCCATGGCTGCAGTGCATTCAAACACACCCACACACACACGAAGATCTCAGTGGCCTGACCCCAGTCTTATCCTGACATTACCCAGGATCCCTCACGGGACAAAGGGTCAGACACCATATTAGCAGAGTGTGTGGCAGCTGTGGGTGTGACCAGGAACCAAACCTTGTCAATCAAGCTGTGGCTTCAGGTATGGGCATGACCTGAAGCTTGTCAGTCAAGCTGCCGACCAGTAGAAACACCATGTTCACCAACAAGCAACCAGGACCAGTCCCTCCCCTGCCTCCTCCTAACGGGAGGGCTGCCTCGGGCCGTGTCCCCTCAAGGGGTACACTGAGGGCTGGGAGACACCCTTCTCCCCAGCGCCCACCTTTGTGCTGGCTGGGTTCTCACAGACCCGTCAAGCAGTTACTGTCCTCATGTGTGTGCAGGGCAAGGCAAGTGGCTAGTCTGGGACTCGGGGCAGACGTCAGACCCTTAGCCCCTTCGTGCTATGCCACCCACTTGGTCCCCCAGTCTGAGTGGGGACCACAACCCAACTTCCACTCTGCTTCTCAGAGGTGAAGGGAATCACCCAGCAGGAGGAGTGGGCACAGCTGGCAACACCTGGATCAAAGTTATGTCAACACGCCCCTCAGGCACAGGACAAGGATGTCCACAAGTGCCACAGGAAAGCAGTTCCTGAGCCCCTTTTCAGCTATCTTCTGTACCAAGGCTGGGTTTCCAACAGTGGTGACCAGACTCCAATGTCACGGGTGCCACCGACACGAGGCCCGGCCTGGCCTTGGCCTGTGATCCAGAAGGTCCTGGCCTAGCAGTGCAGCCCAAGACACCCTAAATGAAAGGGCTCTCCCTCCTCCCCCAAGTAGCTTAAAAAGGAGTCTGGGGTGCCCAGAGCGGTAGACTAGCTGCTAAAGTCCTCACCTTGCCTGTGCCAGGATCCCATATGGGAATCAGTTCTAGTCCTGGTGGCCCCGTTTCCCATCCAACTCCCTGTTTGAGGCCTGGGAAAGCAGTCGAGGACGGCCCAAAGCCTTGGGACCCTGCTCCAGCGTGGGAGACCCAGCTCGGTCCAGATCCAGCTGTTGCAGCCACTTGGGGAGTGAATCAATGGATGGAAGATCTTCCTCTCTGTCTTTCCTCTTCTCTGTATATCTGACTTTCCAATAAAAATAAAATAAATCTTAAAAAAAAAAAAGGAGTCTTAGAAGGAAGGGTCAGACTGTGTTGGTGCAACTTAACTGTATCCCAACTACCCTTTGTTTCCAAGTCAAAATAGTTCAAGGAAACCCAAAGCAAAGCAAATGAAAACCTGCAAACCCAGGACGCAAGGCCCCTAACAGCCGCCATCTAATACAAAACCACCAAGCTGCAATAAAAATAAACACGACCCCTAACTAGGAGAAAAATCGACTAACAAAAACAGATTGTGGAACGATACGGGTGATGGGGTTTACAGAAAAGGACATTATAACCAGCACAAAGAGGTTTCATATGTTCAAGAAGTTAGGAGAGAGAATGAGAAATGAGGGTACATAAAAGACCCCCTTCCCCACTGAACTGTCAGAGGTGAAAATCCAAGTATCCAAAGTGAAGAAGAGCAGTGGATGGCACCAACAGCACGCACGTTGCAAGAAAAGACGAGGGAACTTGAAGATGTAGCAAATGAAATTCAACATGAACCACTGAAACCAAGCACAGTCTTGCTGAACCATGGGAAGAGCTGAAGCAGTGCATTTCCAACTGGAACCACAGGGTGGTGACACAGCCCGCACATCTTCCTGTCTGACCACCTGTAGCCCTCCAGATCTAAGGGGCTCCCTGATGTCCAAGCCGGAGAAGCCCGTGGTGGCTCCTGACCCCGCAGCTGGGGCTCTAACCACAGCCTCTGTCATTTGTCACTGATAGGTCCAAGGCACAAACAGAGAAGCCAGATGGGAAAGACTCCAGGACACGAGGAGTGGACCCAGGCAAGACCACGAGACAGGCTAGAGGGAGAGGAACATGGTGGGGCAGGTGGTAGGTTTCTTCCAAAGACCCCTGCTGGTATTCCCTCTCTGCAGCAAGCCAAGTGCTATGCTTGGAGGCAGCCAGACTCCTGTTTGTGTGTGTGTGTGTATGTGTGTTTTTTCTAATGCCCACCTCTGGAGACCCGGCCTTACTTTGCAGAGTGGGTCCTCTTGGTCCTGGAGCCCAGCCCAATCAATGCCAAGCCAGCCAGCTTGTGCTGGCAGCTGGAGACTGTCAGGGTGGACCTAGTGGGCAGATGTCTGAAGACATCCCTGGCCACATGAGATGGCAGGGACTCAGCTGGCCCACCTGGACACACCACAGCAACTCTTGCTCGCAGACACGAGGTCATGAGGCTGCTGACTAACTAGTGCTTGCGCAGTCTCTAAGAGAGATGCTGTCAGATGCAACACCTGCCCTGCCACGGCAGGGACACCCGGGAGCGTTGTGGAATCGGCCCCCACACCTACCTGCCAGGCCGGGAGGACTTTCTCAATGTCATTCAGGTTGATGCCATCCCCATCCGCCAGCTTCCCTTTTCCACACCTGGAGAGAAAACAGAATGGCATTGGGAGGGAGATGGCACGTTGGCATGACCTGTGCTAGCCTGGCCGGCAGGAGGCAGGGTGGGAAGGGCAAAGGCAGACCCCTGCTGCCCCAGCCATCCCAGGCGGAGCCGACTGCAAAGAACTGACCCTTCCAGGGGAGCAGCTGTACCCCACAGCCCATCCATCTCGTCCCAAAGGCAGAATGAGAGAAAGGTCAAGGAACACTGCCAAGGCTGGCAGCGGCTCCTTCCTCGTTGGCTCAGCTTTGGGCCAATCCAGTGGGCTCGCTCGTACTGACTTCATGTCCTCTGGCCAGGGTTGCCAGCCCCCCAACTCCCTGGCCAGAGGTCTTTTGCATATTCAATGCATATCCTTTTGCATATTAAAAAATACAGAATCACCTGCCAGCCGGTCAGGTCCTGAACCCCAGCTGCCTGCCTGACCCAAGAGAATCACTCAATCTCAGGTTCATCTACAAATGGGGTTAACAGGAGCGCCTGGAGTAAATTAGCTGCCAGATCTAATGTGCCCAGCACATGGTAAACCTCTCTGTCACATAAGATAATATTGAAGGTAAGGGCAGGTAACAGTGGGATTAAATTACAAGAGACTAAAGTCAGTGCCTGACTATTATTCATGCTTCTGTTGCAGCTGTCTGGGGACAGGATGGCAATAGGGCACTGGTTAAGGGGCCACGCCCACTCACGCACCTGACTCCCTTCTGGGTGCCCTGGTTTCAGGTGGTGCTTGTGGCGAGTCTGCACTAACATAGGACAAGCACCTGGAACAGGGGCTGGCAGTTCAAGTACAAAAGTATTACTGTTTACAATGACCCAAGGGGCGTGGGCCATGACCACCAGATTGGGGACTGTATTTTCCATCCACAGAGCTCATGTGATGCTCAAAGGTCAGTGTAATGAGTTCATTAAAAGCAAACAAAACAAACAAAAAGCTATTGTCCAAGCAGCATCTCTTCTGCTTTTGTCCCTGCCCACAAATATGAATCAACAGACAACCCAAAGCACTCAGAATAAATGCTAGCAGGCCTGGCGTGGTAGCCTAGCAGCTAAAGTCCTCGCCTTGCATACACCAGGATCCCATATGGGCATCAGTTCTAATCCCGGTGGCCCGGCTTCCCATCCAGCTCCCTGCTTGTGGCCTGGGAAAGCAGTCGAGGACAGCCCAAAGCCTTGGGACCCTGCACCTGCGTGGGAGACCTGGAAGAAGCTCCAGGTTCCTGGTTTTAGATTCGCACAGCTTTGGCAGTTGTGGCCACTTAGGGAGTGAATCAATGGATGAAAGATTTTCCTCTCTGTCTCTCCTTCTCTCTGTATATTTGACTTTCCAATAAAAAATTTAAAAAATTAAAAAGCTTAAAAAAAAAAAATCGTATCCTCATCCAATAGGACCATAAGCCTGAAGCACCACCAGGGGGCAGCATAACACAAGTGTCCCAAACCAGGAAGCTCGGGAAGGCCTGGGACCCAAAGGAAGAAAAACCCACTGCAATCTGCTAAGGCTTTCAGTGCCCGGCAACCCCGGCTTGATTGTTCATCTCTCCACCCAGCGGCTCCATGCCAGGCTCTGGGTGAGGGCTGGCACCCAGGTGAAGACCATGTAGGGTCCTGTTGGGAAAATCTCCCTCCCTGACCTGAGCCCGGAGCAGTCAGGGTTCTGGAGGAGGTAAGAGGACGTGGCAGGGAGCCAGGGAGGGCTGCTGACAATGGTCTTGGGTGGAGGCCAGGTCCCAGGTGGGTCGGCCAAGGGCAGAGAATCTGGAAGGATGGCCCGGGCAGAAGGAGCAGTACAGGCCAGGACCAGCAGCAAGGCCAGTGTTCAGCAAGACGGCATTTGGAGTAGGGTGAGGGAGGGAGAACTAGGGGCCAGGGCCAAGGGCAGCTGCAGCTGCAGGGGGAGGACTTGAGGCAGGGTTTGGCAGGTGGAGCTGGGCAGGGGTGGGGTATAAGGCAGGCCAATCAGACATCAGGGAAAAGGGGAGTGGCTATCTGTACAACACCATCATGACGGTGCTGGGCTGAGGGAACTGGACAGAAGCCTGCAGCATCCCACCATCTCTGAACCATGGGGTCTTTGGGGTCTGTGCGTGGGCTTTGGGGTGGGACTAAGGTCTTTCCCTCTCCATGTCACCTTTGGCTACAACATGCATATCCGGGGTCCTCAGCATGCACTGGGCCCCCAATCCACCCCAGCACCAACATGGCAGTTTCAGGCATGACCCAAAGTAGTCCCCAGGGTTCTGCCACAGCTGGTACCCAGGAGAGGGCTCAGAACCTCCTGGGGCACTGCAGGTGTGGAGGGCAGAGGCAGCTGGACTGCCTGAGTCAGCATGACCTATACAGTTTCCAAGGCAACAGCCCACTCTGATTTCTGGCTTTCCATGGAAACACAGACTACTGCAAGCTTTGGCCTGCCTCTGAAAGGCAGGGCTACAGCTCACCATGGAGAGCTGGTTCCCCATGTGCAAGAATCTGAGGGACACTTTGTGGCTTAGCCACAGGGTAAGAAATGCACTCAGATTCCCCAGGAGCCTGGGCACAGGCAGGATTTGGCTGGAGAGCCACGTGGCCATGGGCAATCCTGCGTGACTCACAGCCAATCTGGTAGGTACCTTCCTCCACCTGCCACAGGGATGCAGGCTGGCAGCCTGTGAGTGGGTGTGGCCAGGTCTTCTGGAATTGTGGTGACCCCCCAGGCCCTACCAAGATGGGCACTTGTGGCTAATTTCAAAAGCACCCGTTAAGAAGTTAGCTAACTTGGGAGAACTGCTTCAGTTCTTGCAGAAAGCTGGGCTCCAGCCATCATTCCCCATATCACACTGCAGTCTATAAGGTGGTGCCATCACTTGGAGCCCAGGACTTCAGCATCCCCTATGGGTTTCTCTAGCTGTGTGTCCCAGGGGACACAGGAGAGCTGGAACTGTCCAGGGACATGCTGTGTCTCCCCAGAAAGGCTTCCCAGACGGTTCCTTCCTCAGAGCGCTTCTTGAATGTACTGGTGCTGCCCTGCACTCTCTAAAACAGCACGGTTTGGTCAGTTTCTTTGCTGCAGTTTCATCACCCGTGGCTTTGTGTCTCCTCTTCCCAGGAGACTGAGCAGTTCTTCAAGATCACATTTTCAATGACATGTGCGCATGCATGCATGAACTGCAAACATGCATCATGTATGCACACATGCATGTGTGTGTGAGCACATACGTAAATACCACTCTCATGGCATGGGCCACCACAGGGGACCCTGCAGTTCTAGAACAGCTGGCCACCCTGTCCTGAGCCAAGCCAGATGCACCTTTCCTTGCCTGGCAGGGCATCAGGCTCCCGCACCAGGGCAGGTGAGATGCCTCCCCTGTGCTGAAAGCCCGTTCCTACACTACACCTACTGATAAGGTTGCCTTCCCCACGCAGAGGTGTGGGGACCAGCCCCGTGACTCAGCGGCTTGGCGGGAACATGGGCTTCTCTGTACTGAGGAGCAGCAGGGCAGGCGGCCAGGGTGGGTGGCTTGACACAGGGCCTGGCTGCCTTGAGCTATCTCTCGCTCACACTCTGTCTTCTTCTAACAGGAAACGGCCACACTCAAAGCCCTCTCCACCCAAATGAAGCCCACAAGAGGCAGGATGATAAAATGAACTTTCTATTTCTCTCATTTGCAAATAAATAAGAGAGAAGATTATCCCAGTGCCTGGATCCAAGACAAGCCGAAACGAGCCTGTGTGGAGCACTCCAGAGGGAGCAGCACCTGTTGGTGAGGTAGCCATGTTCTCAGCCAGGGAGGACCCAGTCATCAGATCTGCCACAAGCCCCCAGGGACTCAGATGTGGCTCAAGTTCCAGGATCATTGGACTGGGTGACCAACACACAGGGCTATGGTGGGTATGCAGGAACAAGCAGTGTGGGCTGGAGGGAGTTTGGCTAGGCTGGGCCAGAAGGATCCTGAGAAAGGCCAGCAAGCCTGCACATCTTGGGCCATATTGGACACAGCATCGCAGGGTGGCCCGTGTCCTCTAGGCAGCAGAGAAAGGAGCCTATTAGAACAGAGCTGCTCCCATGCAGACCCCAGCTGTGGGAAGGAGCCCCCCCAGCGCCCCTTACCCTTCGCGGTCGATATGTGGCACCGGCTGCTTAGGCGCATGTCTGAGCTTTCTCTGGAACTGAGTGAAGTCCAGCTTTTCAGGCTGCAGGTCCCAGGTGGCACCACTAGAGGGCGAGGAAGGCGAGAGGCATGTGGTCAGGAGTCCAGGAACCCAGGCAGGCAGGTGGGGGGCACCCTCAGGCCAGGAGGAGGAGCCTGGTCGGCCAGGGACAGTGACTCCACAAGCCACTGGACACCTCCAAGAGAGGGAGCCCAGCAAGTTCTATGCCTGGGAGTGTCCTCAGTGCTGGGCAGCCAAGGGGCCCCTGCTACCACAGTCTCTTAGGGGATGATGGGCAATTTTGCAGCAGCTCAGAGCAGACCCATCAGGGCAGCATCCCCCAGTCTGAAGAGATGGTGGCCGATGCCCGAGAAACATCAGGAAGCTTCTGGAGTCAGAGCCATGGTAATCCTCCTTTCCTCAGACTCTCTGCAGTGCCCTCTGCTCCCCAACCCCAGACTAACGGGTGGGCAGGGTGGGGACTGCAGCCACTGGGGCCTCTTCCACAGTTGCCACTCTCCATTGCCCCTCCAGTTTCTTGGTCCCTCCCTGACCCCTGCCTTTGCCCCCTCCCCTTTCTCTCCTCTTCCAATCCCTCTTCCTTAGCTTTTCCATTTCATTCCCCCAGCTCCTTCCCACCCCACTCACTCTCTCCCTACTGGCCCCCAGCTTGGTCCCTCAGGCCAGGAGGATGAGCTTGCCAGGTGCTACCAGGAGTCGCCCTCGGGGTTACCTGAAGGAGTCGAAAGTGTTGGCGGCCCAGATGTCAGTGCCCAGCATGTCCAGGGAGTGGTCTTTGCTGCCGTTCTGAAAGACATGGGGTAGAAGAGTGGCATCACCACTTGCCCTTGACGCAGGGGGCCAGCAGGTGCAAGGTTCCATCTGCATGGTGAGCAGCTGATGGAGCCTCAGTGTCCCACAGGTACACCAGCAAGAATTAGGAGGATGTTGCTGTCCTGCCCCAGCACAGCCCAGGTGTGCACCAGGTACAGCCATGCCCAGTGCCCCTGCTGCTCTCCCCTCTGGCTCCACCCTCTAGCAGGGCTACACACAACCTGCAGGTGAGCTGCCAGCATGAGGGCAGTGGCTTCTCCCCCAGGCATGCAGAAGGGTCCACAGAGGACTGACTCCTTTTGGGATTAAACCCTGTGATCCAGGCAAGGGACAAAACTTCTCACTAAGCCATCTTGGTCCATTCTTCACCCTCTGACGTGTCCAACATAACCCATCTTGTGGACGGGACACTTTTCACTCAATGCAGCTTCCATGACTTGGTGTCTGCCCTCTGCCCGTGAGCTCCCTGACACTCACTTCCCCACTCACTTCCCTAAGCCCTCCACTCCTCATCTCCACAGTCTGGCTTCTAGCAACACACTCGTTAACAATAACCTCAGCAGCAGGCCTTTGTTCTAGTTAAGACACCTGTATCCCATGTCGAGGTACCTGGGTTCAATTCCTAGCCACGGCTCCTGATTCCAACACAGACTCTAGGAGGCAGCAGCTGTAGCTCGAGCAGCTAGGTCTTGGCAACCAACCCGGAAGACCTGGATTGAGATTCCAGCTCCGAGCTCCTTTCCTGACTCAGCTCCAGCTGCTTCAGGCCCTTAGGGAAGCAATCAGCAGGTGGGAACGCTCTCTCATGAACACATAAAGCAAACAACACTTGCACATCCACTGAAACCAAGCAAGTGTGTGCTTTGTGACCTAGGGATTCACTGCCAAGTGTAAACACAACAGAAATGTGACCTGAAAGGGCACAAGCACTTTCAGGGCAGGGCAGCATCATTCCTGACAGCTCCAACTAAAACGACTCGAGAGACCAACAGTTGACCAGGCTGGGGTGGGCACTGTGGAGCAGCAGATGAAACCACTGCCTGGGATGCCCATATCCCAGTGCCCAGTACCAACTTGCAACCCAACATCCCACTAATGTGCCAGAGAGACCAAACAATGATAAGTGCATGGGTTGCTAATATCCACATGGGACACAGATGAAATTCCTGGCTCCTGACTTGAACCTCACCCATCCCTCATTGCCGTGGCCTTTGAGAAGTACGTTAGTGGATATAGAATTTGTTTTTCCCTCTCTGTTTCTCTTTTTCATGCCACTTTGCCTTCAGATCCAATCAAGTAAGCAAGGGTGACCAGATAAATAAATACTAGTATCTATTAGAATATCATGCCTACGGCCATACCACCCTGAACACGGCCATACCACCCTGAACACGCCCGATCTTGTCTGATCTCAGAAGCTAAGCAGGGTGGGACCTGGTTAGTACTTGGATGGGAGAATGTCATAAAGCAGCAAGAATAGACAAATGGAACAACATAAATGAATCTCATCGATACCACATGGGCTAAAAGAATGTATACCCAAGGGTGCAGTGGTTTGAGCCGGTGGCTGAGACACCCACATGCCATACTGAAGTGCCACATGCCCTGGCTTCTCAATGCATCCTGCTGATGTTGATCCTGGGAGACTGTGATGATGGACCAAGGAGCCGGGATGTGCCACCCATGCAGGAAAGACCTGGCTCCCAGCTTCAGCCACAACCAGGAGTTACTGTGAAACAGCAGGCAGGAGCCCTTCTCTCTCTCCACCTCCTCCCAAAGTAATTCATTTTAAAAAGGATCCAGACACAAAAGAATGCCAGTTATATGGTTCAATGTATATGAATTTCAAGAACAGGCAATCTAACCAATCAGTGGGAATAGAACCCAGCATAACTGGAAGGACACATTGGGGGAACCTGGGGTATGGGTAACACAGTGTATCTTGATTTGGGTGCTCATCTCGCTTTAATAATGCTGTCCCACACCAGGGATCAGATGGCACCTGCCTTTTCCATTCTTGCTTTTTAAACTTGTGTTTTCCTCCATGCCTTTCTCTTTGGTCTACTTCATTCATGTCCCACATGCCTCCTAGGTGTGATGGGTCATACGGTTTGAAATATGGAGTGTTGGTCACCCTAGCAACTGGCTGATGGGCAAGTGTCTCTGCCCAGCAACCCCTGCCGCCTTCTACATGGAAGTGTCTTGATATCAGACTGACAGCACATTGCTTTCCATGGGGAGATCTCTGGGGAGCCAAAGGTGAATTCTTTGTTGCTGGACCAGAGGGCAGGGTCCACTGGCAGTTGGGCCAGAAGGAGGCCTGGGCAGAAGATGCTGCCCATGATGATGTTCTCCACCTGTACTACAACTCTGGACTGAGCTGTTGGCACCCCTCCTTGGAGGTGAGAACATGCAGCTGGCACTGGGGAGGGCCAGACAGGCAGTGGCAGCCATGAGCTTTCCCGGCAGGGCTCCATAGAGGAGCCACAGTAGTCCAACAACTAATAGCACTCCTGTATCCAAGGTCACGGTTGACCGACTCTATAGCCGGAATCCTTACTGCTGACAGCAGCCCAGAGAATGCATTCCCACACTGGTCTTGATGACCTGAGCTTGTGTATGAATGCCAGAAACCCAGACACATACAGCCTGCTTCCTGTCCTCTCTCAGGCCTCCTTCCTCATCAGCTCTGATTTGGTGCAGGCCACCACCACTCTCTGCCAGCCTGGCCAGAAGCTTGCATTAGCAAGCCTCTTCCGCCCATCCCTCTTGCTGTGTGCTATGGTATCCTCCAGGGCCTGAGCACCCCTCCACACTGCCCCAGCAGTTTGGGCTCATAATGTCCCCCACTGGCTCACCTAGACAACCCTCAGCACTAAAGAACTTTCTGTGCCAAGGAGCTAGGATCCCTCTCTGCACAGCCCAGGGCATCCAGAGCAGAACAAGGCAAAACTTTGACACAGCCAGCAAGCCTGGAGCTGGGCAACTCAGCAGCCTTGGAGGAGGAAGGCTGAGGCAACAGTACCTAGCAAGGAGCTGGACATGCAGAGAGAGGCCACAGGCCAGCCACTTGGCCCCCATGTGACTACCAGGAAGGTAGGCACCCTGGCAGCGGGGAGGGGAAGTCTCAGCGTAAGTTCACCTGCATGAAGACCTTGGTCATGAGTGATGGCTACCTGCTGTCACTGCCATGACATGATCACGGCAGGGTGTAGTAACACCTTGGATGTTACTATGAGAGCAGGCTCAGGCAAATAGGGACTACGTGTAAACATATTAGCAGAGTCAGACTGGTACCTGGGACAGAAATTCACTGCCTTCAGGTCTCAAGCCAGAGCAGCTGGAGTCTCACTGCAGGCTGAGGTGGTAGCCCAGGTGGGACCAAATTGCACTGGGAGGTTCCTGCCAACTGCATAGTTACATGGGACGACCAGAGTCCTCAGGGATTCACACACTGTCCCTACCCCTAGGGATGGTAGCCTGAGCCAGAGCACCAGACACCAGTTCTCCAATCCTGTTGGTGGCTTGGAGCCAAGCAAACCCACAGCACCACCAAAACATCTGAACATCCCCATTTTCCAAAACATCAAATATCAAGCCTCAAACCCTGCACACAAACATGCATACACACACCAATACATGCATGCCAACACACACCAAAACATACATACATACCCTAATGCACACATCCAATACATGTATACATAAACAATATACACATACCAATACATATATATACACACTAATACACATCTCCAATGCACACATACACACATACACACTCCAACACATATATACACATACAATATACATGCACCAATACATACACACACACACCCCGATACAATTGTACACATACACTTGACCCAATACATACACACATACAAATACACATAGAATGACACAACCTGCCCCAAGACATACACACACAGTATTTCAACAGTTTGTGGAAACCTATGGTGAGCATGTGGTGCAGAGGGTAAGATGCCCCTGTGGACAGCATGGTTCCACACTGGAGTGCCGGTTTTGATCCCCTTCCAATTGCAGCTTCCTGCTAATACTCATCCTGGGAGCCAGTGGATGACTGCTCAAGGAGTTGAGTGCCTGCCAGTTTGGGGGAGATCTAGAGCGATCCCAGCCCCTCACGCAGCCCTGGTTCTGCCCTGGTTGTCACAGGTATTTGCAGGAATGAACTAGTGGATGGGAAATGGCTTGCTCTGGTTCTCTCTCTGCCTTTCAGATAAATAAAAGTTTTTTAAGATTTACTTATCTTTTATTGGAAAGATAGAGAAACAGAGAGAAGGAGAGACAGAGAGGAAGATCTTCCGTCTGATGGTTCACTCCCCAAGTGACCACAATGGCTGGAGCTGAGCCAATCCAAAGCCAGGAGCCAGGAGCTCTTCCAGGTCTCCCACATAGGTGCAGGGTCCCAAGGCTTTGGGCCATCCTCGACTGCTTTCCCAGGCCACAAGCAGGGAGCTAGATAGGAAACGGGGCTGCCAGGATTAGAACTGGCGCCCATATGGGATCCCAGTGTGTGCAAGGCAAGGACTTTAAATATTACGTTACTGCGCCAGGCCCAAATAAATAAAAATGTGTTTCATTGATACAAATTTTAAATCCATGCCTAGCTTTCTTGTAATATGCATTCTTGCATGAAACTTATACTTTATGAAGTACACGTACAAATTCCACAGACATGATTGTTTTTATATATACATGTGTATGTATTATACACACATACTGCTGTACACCTTGTACACAGATACACACTACATACGTGCACATCAAACACACAGACACACACCACAAATTCAGTACACCAGATCACCAGCTTCCATGCCAGATGGAGGGAATCCTCCCTTGCCTGGGTCAGGCAGCCACTCTGGTGGTGCCCAGCCCCCATGACAGGTAAGGGGAAATCTTCCCCCACCCAGGTCAGGGGGCGCACTCTGGGGACTTAGGTATGGATT